ATAAAAAAAAATATTACAATTAAAAGACAAATATGGATTAACGATCAAAACAAATCAACAGGAAAGAGATTAAAGAGATTTGACATCGATTATTTATATAATGTTTATTTATCCATTTTCATCGAGAGAAAAGAAATGAAAGAAGAAAAATCATATATTTCTTTCTTCTTTTTTTTCTTTTCTTTTCTTTTCTTTTCTTTTTATATCGAAATGATCGATCGAGTCGTTTCATTTATTCTTCTCGTTAGATTTCCTCAGGCTAATAAAAAACGCGATATAGTATAAATGGGAGGAAAGTGCGACGCGGTGTACGTCGTAAGGAAACGCTTTAATCATCGTTAAGAACGCCTAGCCAACAAACGGAAGTATTTACGCGTTTGCGGGGGTGTTTCAAAATAAGCATGAAAGCTTCGTCAATAAAACAAAATAATACCGATCATATAAAGTCGATTTCAATCTCTGATCGATGACAGGATGATAATAAACATTTTATTTTTTTTATTCTCTCTACAAATTTTCTATTCTTCGACACATATCTTTTTCATATTTTTAATTATATATATATATACGTTTGTGTGTGTATTCAAAATATATAATAAATTTGTATTTACAGAGATTGGGCCAAAAATTCTTATGTTTGTAGTTTAAAAATCTGAAGAAAAAAAATTGCCTAATTGTTAAAAAAGTATCTGAAGAAAAGAGTAAGACTGACATTTAAAAATCCCTTAGCTACTTTTGATTCACCCTGTATATGCACTTTAAATAATAATTTAACGATGTGACTTTTATCTCATCTTCTCATATTTAAAATTTAGTAATACGATAAATTATGAAAATATCGAGTAAACTAGTAGTCCAATTCATCGTATTAATTTCTTTTCAACGACAAAAAACCACCCACATATATTTCCCATTAAAAATAATGTTCCCTTTTTCACGTGGCTAGAACTTTGTCGTTGAATACTTGTCACTGGAAAAAAATAAATGTTCCAAGTTTGACTGACACGTCGCATTGTTCCCATTCTCTCCTTCTTAAAAAGCTATTTTCTTCGTCTTTTTCTTCTTCAAATCGGTGTCTTCTTTTTAACAGATAAAAAACAATTAATTTTCCTTGTTTTCTTATTTCTTTTTTTCTATATGTCTTATTTGCGTATATAAAAATTTATATAAAATAAAAAAGTAGAGTAACAATATTTTACTCTATTTCTATCTATATTCTTATTTCTATTTTTATTTTTTTTATTTTATTATTCCATTGACATATATATATATATATATATATATATATATATATAATATATATATTTTTTTATTTATTATTTTTTTTCTCACTGTTACAAACAATATTACTCTATTCCTATTTTTCTATTTTACTATAAATTTTAGAACGTCGTCTTTTAAACGACTGGCATCATCAAAATGCCGGTTAAACGATAACTTCAGACATTTTATTCCGTTTGCCTTCTATTTCCGGAGAAAGGAACTAGATTACTCACTCCCAGTTACTTCTACCACCTCCCTGATTTTCTCTCTCTCTCTCTCTCTCTCTCTACTCTGGTTACCTCCGTTCACGTTTAAAATATGTGATCAACATCAGAAAGTATTTCGCAATTTTTTATTTACTTACAATCCATCAAACGTCTGAAAATTTAATTTAGTTGAAGGGTGCTGCGTACGTTACCAGGTTAGATTCGTTCATTGATAATTCCAGAGGGTAAATAGATATAGATAGGCCTCTCCTCTCTATTAGAAAATATATCGTCGAGAGAGGGGAAGGGAGAAAGAGAAAGAGAAGAAATTTATTCGATACTACTTGCTTCGAATATTTGCTTGAACCTTTAAAATGACCGCCGATTTTTTTCCCTCGTTTTCCTCCCTAACCAAATTACTTTATTTATTGGAAAGATTCAAGCGCACAATTGAAAACAATTTGTACATTTTATTTTCTTTTTCCTTTTTTTTTCCGATTCAGGCTTTATACACCTACATATATACATATATATATATATATATATATATATATACATATATATATACCTACATATTTGTACGTATTTTCATTGATGCTATATTTACTTGAATAATATCTAAAAACATGAAAAAATATATATATTCGCGATAAATCGTCACTAGCGAGCCTGAGAGTCAATTAATTAATACCGAATTCAGAATCCCAGTCCCAGTTAATTACCAACATTCGCGCCTTAACGAGCAGAATACCCAGTCACCTAACATACACACACATACACACACACACACATATACTCATAAACGCACACTTTTAAATGCGTAGATTTAGCTTAGACACGGTATCATCTTTCAAGTTACGTTCAATTTCGCGGCGGTAGAGAAGTACTTTAATCCATTAAAAAAAATAAAATGTATAATTAAAGGACAAATCCGATATTGTCGTATTCGTATTATTTAACAAGATAAATATTTTTCAACGTTTTATTTCATGAGATACTTTCGAACGTGATCGACGTGATAAAGTATAAATTTCAAAATCTTCTTAAGAAAAAGTGAGATTATTTTCCTATTAAACTTCTTATATATATATATATATATATATATATATATATATATTTTTTTTTTTTTTTAATTTCTTCATTGAAAATTCTCACAGAAATTGATTATTCATTATCAATCGACCCAGAAATGTCTTCAACGAGTATACGTGTATACAATTTGTTGAAATAAAAAGAAGAGAGAGAGAGAGAGGGAGAGAGAGAGAGGGAGAGAGAGAGAGAGGGAGAGAGCAAAAAAATGAAAAAAAAAATCATGGATATCTTCCTTGTAGTGCAACAATAGCAGTCGCCATTAATGTCTACATACGCACATACTTATCTACATACGTACGATGTATATTCATTCCCAACGTTAGTAAATATAAACACGTACGCAAACATTATAAACGTCTCGCCACAAAGGGGAGGATTATTCGATGCCGAGATAGAATGGAGTATTGTGGGCGAAATTAATTTTTGTACGCACACGTGCTCGCTTATTATGTTTTCGTTCCGTCAACCGGAAGGATTGATCTTCCACAAGGGGTAGTATTTTATCCTTTTTCTCTAGATCATTTCTGTCAGAGTACTTGGTTGCGTCGTTATTAAAAAAAAAAAAAAAAAAAAAAAAAAAAGGGGGTGGGCAAAAGGGGAAAAAAAAGAAAACATGAGAAAAAATTTTACATTCAGAAGCATGCGAAAGAGGAATTTTCTTTCAGACTTTAAAACAGCACGAATATACAATCTCAAATTAAAGAAAAGAAAAGGAAAAAAAATAAAACAAAGGACTTTTTTTTTAATTTTTAAAAATAAAAAAGAAACTCACGTGAAAGGCAAAAATATTTTTTTATCTTTTTTTTTTCTCCTCTCTCTTTTCTTTTCTTATCCTTTTATTTATTTATTCTTTTTTTCTTTTGCTTTGATCGGTCTTGAACTTTCAAAAAATATTTTTCATAGTGATTTTGTACAATTATTTTAACATCTAGAAAACGAAACGAGAGAATCGCGGACGAAGAAACGAATCAGAAAAGACGAATGAACGACAACCGACGAGTAAATCAGAACACCATTGAAACGGCTTTGAAATGATAATAATCTTCGTGACATGGCAATGCAATTATGCAACTTCAATTCCGCAATTAACGCACTTCATTCTGATCCGCCACGTTGCCTAGAATCGCACTCGAAAATATGCAATGTACGTTGATCGTTGTTGCTCTTCTATACTTCTCTTTTCCCTTCTCTCCTCCCCCTCCCTCCGTCAAACACCCCGAAACACCTCACTCTCTCTTTTTAATCATCTTCATCTCGGTCTACTCTCTTTCTTCCTCTCTCTCTCTGGTCCTTCTTTCACTATTTTATTTTCATTCAAAAGCTCGTAACGCGATTTGCAATGACAACATTCAAAAGGCAACATTCGTTCTTTTTCATTTAAAATAAATTTTTATTTTTGATTCGACGATGGACGTTGAAAAAAAAAAATATATAATAATAACGGAAATAAATTCGAAATGAATCATCGGGAATATTTGAGAAGCAATGATCGGACACTTTTTTTTTTTCTTAATATTTAAAAAAATAACAATGTAAAATAAGAATGCTATATAACGAGACCATATTTGCTTAACAAGTATTAGCGCATTTTATATACATATTTACTTTGAGTTTGATTCGATCAATGGGAATATATCTGTGTTAGGAATCGATCGAAATAAAAAGAAAAAAAAAATAATAATAATAATAATACAAGAAAGAAAAAAAGAAAAAAAAATAGAAAATGACGGGATAAAAAACATACATATTTGGTTTTCCAATTATTTTTCTTTCCCTTGCCGGATATACCGGAATTTCGATATCGCGTTAAATTTAATCGGAATAACGTAACCCTTATGTATTGGATTCTTTTCGTCTACTCGTAGCTTAATTTTAAAAAACTATGTTTCACAACGTGTGGCTTTAAATACGTCCGATGATCGATATAATAAAATACAATGAAATACGTCTAATGTAAATTTCTTAATGAAATATTTTTTATTATTTAATAAAAAAAGCTATACTCTTTATATTAAATAATATTAATACTCTAACATTGAATAGCGCATTAACGTATTCGTTTATATTGAATATATTCTTTTTTTAATTCTTTCACGTTGTCAGAATTTTCGTCGACCTTCTTTTTACTACGTACGTTTTTTAATTATTATTACCATACACAGTACGTGACATTTTCATATTTCAGACGATTTCCCGCGAAGAGAAATGAAAATTACGAGCGCGCCCGAGCGTGGGCGAAAAAATACGAACGATGAACTTTAAAAGTTTAATATCAGCGCGCGATTTTTTTTAAACGCGATCTTCAATTTCGAACGTTTAAATTTCTCCTCCTCCTCCTCCTCCTCCTCCTCGTATCGTCCTCCTCCCTCATTTATTTTTATCATTTCACCTTTATATTATCGAATATAAGAAAATAAAAGTTTTACGTTTGACACGTACCTTTGGGAAATCGATCGTATAAATAAAATCAACAAGAGTTGCAAGATTGTAAGAAAATTGTCATTTTCTTTCTCGTTTCCTCCATTTCTCTCGGTCATTGCTTCGACGTTTACACCCACCACATATTTGCCAACCCAGAAATTTCTGTTTATCGTTCTGATTTTCACTCGAGCGAGAATAGAAAGGATGACTTGTAATAATGCCTGATTTCTCTGTGTGGAATAAGAAATATTAAAACTATAAAATCTCGTCTCTCTCTCATTTTCTTTCTTTCGCAGTACGCTCGATTTGTAATTTTAATATAATACCTACGTTATTCAATATTTTAATCGTCTCCAGTTTGATGACTGAATCCTTTACCGGTTGTCGCCATTTTTTTTTCAATACTACGTCAGTCAAATTTAAATATACACAAGGATACAATTGTGCATCGAGAATCTTTTGTAAATAATTTGAAAAACAGACACGTGCGCAAACGGAAATCTTTTTATAAATGATACTTAAATCTTCCTTATATAGATAGATGTACTAACTTCTCGATCGTTTATTATCGATTAGATAAACGAAGGATAATTGGATTCAAATAGGAACCAGCAAGTTTGGGGATCGCTTCGAGCGGTAATACGACTAATCTAATTGGCCATCCCGTCGTTTCATTAACCAATCAGCGTGTTCTACTTCGTATATAAAATTCTGATCAGCCAAATAAAAAAGAATTATTATATATATATACGTGTGTATATATATATAAAAACTTATAAACATTTTAATACATTCTTTTTTTTTTCCTCAACATTTTTCCTATATTATTGGATAATTAACAATTAATGATAATATTCGAACAAAAGATGATATTGGAATGTGATAAAAGGATGTGTTTGTGTATACTCCTATATCGCATTTAATATATATATATATATGTATATAATGAATTTCTGCCGTAAAGCTATAATTAAATGGCACTATCCTTTGTTGTAAATGATCGATCCAATTGACTTTTCAAAATGCAATCGTTGTTATCTCAATTAATTAATCGTAGTCAATTATGAAATAATCGAATCGATCCTTTCTAACCTCGTATTGATTATCGATGTATTTAGGAAATTACTCACAACAATGGAAACAATATAATCATAAAAATTATTGATTATTCTTCTTCTAGTTTTTATTAACGAAATTAATATAAATTATACCTACTTGATGATTATATTCAATTTCTTATTCTAATGTTTTTCTTTAATTCCATTCTTATTAACAGGTTGTGGTGCCAAAAAGAGCAGCTCTTTTGTTCGATCAATTGATGATAGCCTTGCAAAAGGTTGTTGATAATCAAGGAAGAGCAGAGATAGGAAGTGGCAAGACTTTAACAAGATCAGCTCCACCGATTCAAGTTGCCAATTCACAGATGGTACCTTCGGCTGACGAACAAACGGTGATGATTTTTATAAACAAAAAAAAAATAACTTAGAATATATCATATATATTAGAATTGTCGCCAGTCATTGATCAAAATTGTAAATTATAATCAATGATAATCTCTGATCAATGCAAATACGTATTAATAATGATATCATTGATCGATTTATCATTCCAGAACATTCACTATGATTAATCATCATCAATTATTACAGATGGATCTTCAACGACGTGGACAGGCTAAGGGTCGCGTTTATTGGCGATGCTACTTCAATGCCGTGACATGCTTCAAGAAGAAGTGATAAAAGTATCCTGAATCAGGCCACTATTTTCAATCGATTTATCAATTGCTAAACTAAGTTCTCTTATCTCAATTATTCCTATGCTTAAACTGATGAAAAATTGCTCCGTTTTAAGAAGTCGAAGAACTCAATTTCTTCCCAATTCAGTCTTGTGTCCACATCCTAATCTATTTCATTCTCTTTTTCTTGCGTGTATATAATCGTTTTTTGTGATTTAAAAAAAAAAAAAAAAAAATCAATGTATCAGACTAAACTAATTGGCTAAATCAAAATCAAATTATTCCGGCAATCATGATATAAGTTTATTTATTATTGTCATTACCTCTAAACGTTTTCAATTATCAATTTTATTACTAATTTCTGATCAACGATCGACGACTTTTTCCATGGCTGATGTTGCATAATGATTAACAGCAACAAATACATTATCTATAAGAATTAAATACGATTTTTCATCGATACAAAATCACGATAAATAAATATTTTTAATCTCGACTGTGCTCTCGAGTTCCTTGACAAAATGGAAGAATATTTTTATTGATACGTTTCGCGTTAATTATCAATCGCATTTTATGCAATCTTAAATCTCAAACAATTTTCTCTTCAAGGTAAGATCGAAAATGAACGTACGACAAAGCTTCTAAAAAATAATGAATATTAATGAAAAAAAGAATAAAAATAGTGTAAAAAGCATTGTTATATTAAAACTTAATTGATGAAAGGTAAGCTATAAATTAATTAATTTACGTATTTTCATAATGTGATCGTTTGAAAGACCATTTAGATTTTGATCTAATTTTTGTATCTAATTTTTTTATCTAACTGATTTTATCCAATTGGTTTTATTCTCTCTAGCTGTTTTTTTTTTTTATCTTGATTTTGTTGAGTAAGTGACGTGTATTTTGAAATGCTAGATAACATCCATTAAAACTATTAAGAATTATATTTGCTATATGTCATAATTATAGAATGATGCGGTATTAAATAAAGTTTAATTATTGAAATAATTTTTCTATCTATACGTTTAAAAGGACTTGCCATTGGTCTCATATCGTACATAAATTATTATTGATATCGATAATTCAAAAATACAACATAAATGTACATACATTTTTCCCATTTAAAAAATATTTAATTTGAATACTTTCAAGAATTAACATTTGAGTTTGTTACTTCGGATAATCTTTCAAGGCATATTATTAATTCACAATGTTTCGTATGAGGAAACATATCCACGGCAATAGCTTTTATCGGTACAAAAGGTTCTCCGTAATATTGTTTCGATCTTGGTCTTGAGAGATCTATCAAATTTCTCATAGCTGCTCGAGGGTCACAAGATATATAAACTAATCTTGTCAATTTTCTCGTTTTACGTAACGTTAATAATGTTTTTTGATCTAAAAATAAATATGTGTAAAGTTATTTAAATATATTACTCTATATCTATGCTTATTTTTTTTTTCTTTTTCTTTTTTGTTTTTACCATATTCTTTTTTACTTACGTATACCAGCTCTTGGTGGATCAACCACAGCTACAATACGAGATTTTGTTGCCCTTTGAATAATAGGATATAAAATATCTTCTGCTTTACCAACAAAAAATTCACAATTGGTAACACCATTTTGAACAGCATTTTGTTTTGCATCTTTAATAGCATCGGATACAACTTCTACTCCTAAAACTTCACCGCAATGCTGCAGCAATAAAAATTGTATCAGCGAAGATTGAAATTTGTTGCTATTTTATTAATCATACAATATATTGAAAAAGAAAAAAAAACCTTTGAGAAAGATAAACCTATAGTTCCAGTTCCGCAACAAATATCCAATAATGTAGTGTCGTTAGTTGGTTCTGCCATATCGATGACTGCTTTATATAAAACTTCAGCACTTAATGTATTCACTTGGAAAAAGGCTTGTGGTGATATACGAAATTTCTTTTCTAACAAAATTTCTTCGATATATTCAGTTCCACTTATATGCTGTAGAACGTTTCTAGATTCGCTGCCGACACTTCTAAAAAAAAAAAAAAAAAAAGAAAAAATTAAAGTACAAAAAGTGAAAAATAAAACCCACAATCTCATTTCGCATTTAACAATAACATACTTATTCTCCATTGTTTGAAAATAAAGTGATGTAACATCTATAGTGGATCCTTTTCCAGATTCAAAAAATTCTTTCAATTGATTTTGTAACTCTTTTAACCTTTCAATGGTTAAATCTTGAGGATTTATTCCCACTATTAACATTAATTGATTGAGACGACTAGTTCTAGCAGTAACTTGTTTCCAATATCCACTGTGATCTACTGGATTAAAAGGTTCTAATCCAGAATTTTGTACAAATTCTTCTAATGTCTATAGAATAAATATAATTATATTAAAATTATTTTACATATCAAAGAATTAAATTATTATTAATTACTGAAGAGTGCGAAATAAAATATATTGCCTTTACTGCAGTTTTCATATTTTTAGGAATGTGACAAAGGTCATCAATAGGACCTACTGCTGTACAACCAGCAGCATAACTAGACAATCTAAATCCAATTATAACTTTATCACCTTCTATATTCTTACCTGAAATATTATCAAAATATTCAATTATAATTCATTCGTACAAATATAGAATTTTCTTTATAAAAAAAAAAAATCATTTACCAATCGTAAATTCACACTTGTTTCTATAAGCTTCAGTACTTTCGGCATGTAAAATAGGTTTCAATTCACAAGGCAAATTTTCATATAATTTCTTTTGCGAATTAATCCACTCAGACAAATGTACGTTTCCTTCAAGCATTTTCTGACCAATTTTCATTAACACAGATCTCATTTCCTTTTGCTTAAATTCAAGCTGAAATATAATCATAAATATTTCAGTATTTAAATGTTCTTTAAAACATTCAATAGTTTCTCAAACAAATTCATATTATCTTATATTCTTACTTGACTCGAATAAGGCATGTTCCAAAGAGGAGTCGTTGTAAATTTAATTCTATCCACAGCCGACATATCTGGATCGTAAAGTTCATTTTTTAATTTCTTATTACTTTTATTCTCTTCTAATTTTCTTTTTACAAAAGGATCTGGAGCTGGTTTAGCGATCTATATAAGACAATGACAATAGTCAATATTTAAAAGAGAATAAAATTTGTTAAATTTTTAAAGATAAAAAATATGAAAGAGAATACCTGAGCAGAAAGCTTACAGTTTTTCCATAAAATTCCATTTAAAGTAGATATTGCTCGCTGACGACATTCTTCGCTTCTAAAACAAACATACAGCCAACCGCTTGACTGTTTCGGTGGTTTTACCTTGCAAGTTTGTAAATCAAGTTTTTCATTCAACAATTTTTTAAACTCTCCAATTCCATAATATTTTGGCAACCCACGCACTTCAACTTTAAATTTTTCTGATGTGAAATTATCCCTTTCCAGATACGCATACGGATCATTTTCATTTTTCTCCGTTGTATCCTCCACTGTTGGAGTTTCTTTTGTTTCAGAATCGGTCATTATAAATATTTAATTTTTATACACTCAATAAATTCTTTTTATCAATTATCTACAAGTGCGTCGAATAAATGATTTAAGGTTAGATCACCATGCCGCATTCTTCAAAATATAATTCCTTATAAAAAGATTATATTTTTTTCATAAAGCTAATGACAAAATATAACCTAAAAGTACACAATTTAAAATAACAAATAGATATTTACGTTGAATTCGTCAATACAAATAATTTGCACATTTTATTTAAAACTTCACATTTGGCAATAAACGTGCAGAAACATTTCATTTAACGTGATAGAATATCGCTATGATGAAATCACTTGAATATCATAGAATAAAAAGTATATCAAGATAAATGTATATGGCGTAATCAACAACGCCTAGTGTTCCAAAGACCAATCCATTTTCTCTATTCCATTTAAAATTACAATCGTCTCGTCGATAAAATCGTTCAATCGGTAATAATATTCAGTCGATAAAAATAATCGATCAATAAAATCATTCAGCCAATAATATAAAAACGTTTTATTTTTACGAATAAATCTACGAAGAAAATTTATTTATATTAATTAATTACAATCAATTATTCATCCCGATTTAGATCTATCATTCTCGATCTCTGATTGATATGATTTAAAAATTCACTTACTACTTAAGAAGTTTCTACGATAGCGATTATTTAAATATTAATTTACTATATTACGTCTACATTATATATTGTTTAAATAATTATGAAATTATCGAAAGTATGGATCATTTAAAATCAACCGTACGAAAAAATAGAATTTCGATGTTCCTTCAGCGAAATGCAAAAGTTTACTAACCTAATAACTAATCAAGTCATTCGAGTATTTGTTTTTATTGATATTAATTATAAACAACAAAATGTAAGATTATAGAGATATTAAATTATAATTATTTTATTTATAACACGTGTTACAAGCTATTTAATGTTTAAATAAATCAATTTTTGTTTAAATTTTATTTAATTATATCTTTTGTACGGCATATAATATTTAAATAATTATAATATTATTAAAGGTGTGAATCATTTAAGAGTTTACTTCTACGGAAAAGGAAAATTTCGATATTACTTCGACGAAACGCAAAAGCCTCGACTATATCTATTGCTGATATCACATACGTTTCGAACAAAAAGTAATGAATAGCCTAAACAAGAAATGATATACATAAGTTCTATTGTAAAATAAACTAATTTATTCGAATGAAATCATTTAAATAACATTATTACAAATATGCACACTATTCATTTATAGAAATACATTATTATTCTCCGTATTATTTATATTGATAGGCTTAATGAATGTAGATTCATGATTTTCTTCATTATCAAGTGCATTATCAGATTGAAAGATTAAAGTGAAATCTCTAAAGATAAATATATATTAATTGTCAATTATAATATATTATGAAATATTTAAAGTATATAATTATACGTTTTGTAAAAATATACCTTTTTAATGCATAACACTCATTATTATCTATGTTTGTATTTACAGATTTTAGGATATCATTTTTATAATTAGACAATATTGAATTATCTTTACAAATTTCTTTTATTTCAGAATGAAGCTTAATAGTATCTATTTCTTTTTGATTTTTATTTTCCATGTCTTCTTTAAAACGTTTTATTGTATCTTTGCTTTCTTCGTTAAATTTATGTTTTCTTTTTCTTGTTCCATATGGTTTTTTAAATTCGTATTTAGATTTTAAACATCTGTTACGTGGAAAAGATAGATGTATATTATTTTATAAGAAAAATTATATTAATAGTTTATCTGATTACTTTATATGATTACTTTAATGGACTAGTTTTAATTTTATTCTTTAAAGTTTCAAAAAAATCAGTATCATCTTCGTCATTTTTATTTTCTACCATCGGTTGTAACAAAAATTTATTAGATAAATTTTGTCGAGTAATAGCAGGAGAACATATTATTTCTAATGAATATAAGTTCCTTTTGAATAAAAATTGTACAGAATAATTGTAGAAATGATTAATATTAATATTTGAAATATAAATACTTGAACAGATGGAATTTAAATTTTCTGGATCCATAATAGAAGCCTTTGTTTTTGATACTATAGATTCATATGAGTTCATTTGTAATTTGTACAAATTAATAATAGCAGATGAAACTTTCTCAATTGTTACTTCATCATTAATATTGCATCAACTAAATTATGAAAATGAATGTAATGAAATTCAAATTATAACACAAATATTTTAAATATAATATAAAGAAATAAGTTCCATAAAAAAGATATGGTCGAAAATGAATTAGAAATGAAATCGTTAAAAATGTCAAATAAATTTTTATCTATTATAAAATTATTGTTAAATAAAAAACAGTACTCTAATTTTATGAAGATCGTGTCGCAGTTATCTAAGAAAAATTTTTCTAAACTTTGATTAGGACCAATCAGAACTAATCAAAATAAACGCGCGTAAATTTTGAAAAATAAGAATATAGAAATATTTAAATTATTAAATTATTAAAATTAATTTATTATAATATAAAATTTATTAATATAATAATCAACGCGCCCATAAAAATTTATAAATGTATTTATATTAATCATAATTATTCGACATTAATCTTATCAATATTTCCAAAAAATTAAATTTTTTATAAACGAAATTCAAGTTTCTCTCTCTCTCTCTCTCTCTCTCTCTCTCTCTCTCTCTTTGTCACTCAGAAGCAAGATGCGCAGAAGTACATGCACAATGATTTATTATGTTCAGCCCACAGGTTTTTCGCAAGAGAAATATTAATTAACGGGTCACTCGATAAAACAAATGAGTAAAGAAAACAGAATGTTATCTATATAATTGATTAATATAAGCTGTTAAATATAATTATATAACCAGCGTTTATTAATACAATCAATCAGTCTATTAAAACAAATTTGAGGTTAGTTTTTACATGTAAATTCATGTTAGATTTCATCAGCTATATAGATTCATAACCTCTTTCAATGCTGTATCTTTTATATATTAAGCCTACAAAAAAGGTATATTAAAATTGTGACGAAGGAAAAATAAAAGAATGCGGTGTGTTACAACGATTAAGAGTAAATTATTACCAGTGTTTCGTCATAATGGAACGATCAGTCGATCGTTTTACAGAAATCATCATCTAGAAACTCATAATATATTACCGGTTTATATTAAACCACAATTTCCTCGAACGGAATTTCCTAATCAAAGACTTGGAATATTAACTCGAAATATTCGAAATCGTAGACAGTGCGTAGCTGTTGCATCTATTAAATTATTTTCAACTAAGAAATCTGACAGAGATCCTCCGAAGTATGTATATCTTTTTTTCATAAATTTAACATCTTGAAAATTAATAAAGATCATAAAGGACACGTTACAATATCGTAATTTTTTAGTGAAAATGATGCAGAACAATCAGAGGACTATTCAGCTACATTACCTGCTACAGTGGTTGTACCAGAAGTATGGCCTCATGTACCAGTTATTGCAATCAGTAGAAATCCTGTTTTTCCTAGATTTATCAAGCTTATAGAACTTTCCAATCCTATTCTCATTGATTTAATACGTAGGAAGGTTAAATTAAATCAGCCTTATGTTGGGATATTTTTGAAAAAGACCGAAGAGTAATTATTCTTTTGACAATAGTTTATAAAATCATTTATAACATATATGATCATTTAATAGTTATTATATTTATATAGAAATGAAGCAGAGATAGTACAAAATCTTGATGATATTTATTCCGTTGGCACATTTGCACAAATTCATGAAGTACAAGATTTAGGAAATCGCTTAAGACTTGTAATAATGGCACATCGAAGAATTAAAATCGTTGGACAAATTCTAGAAGATGTTGCTGCTGTACAACCGGTGCATGGTAAGAACATGGATATAATAGACATGTACTTAAATGATAGTATTCATATCATAAAGCCAAGTTAAAAAAAAGCAAGAAAGACAAAATAATTTATTTATTTTATAATATTTTATTTACTGTTATTTGCAATGTTGTATCTATATTTTCAATAGTTTTTAAAATGTATAGTTACTATCATAAAAATAGCTATAACAAACTGTTGCATAATTATCATGCACCAAATGACGTATATTTTTTTTATACTTCAAAAATTATTGTAAAATTAATTCAGTTAATTATTTTCTTTTTTTTTTCTTTGCGCCAAAATTAACATTTGTGCAAGAAGAATCATTTTTTATTTCATTGCAAATATAAATCTGCCTATCTTATGCAGAGATGAAACTGACGTTTCCACTATTAAATACAACAATTAACGTCCCTGTAGACGATTCAATGACCACTGGTAAAGTGAGCCGTAGAACAACATCACGTAAAAAGTCAGGATCAGAAAAATCAGAAAGATCAGAAAAATTAGATAATTCAAGCGCAGGAGAAGATACTCCACAGAATAAACCACTAATTGAAGAAAAACAAGCAGAGCCTTCTTCCGAATCAACGACATCGGAATCTCAGCCAATTTTAATGGTAGAAGTTGTAAATGTTACGCATGAAAAATTTAGACAAACAGAAGAAATTAAGGTATTCATAATAATATTTATAAAATATCTATAACTCCATTCATATATAATTGTATAACAGTTAAAATTTATGATTCATAGGCACTTACACAAGAATTAATTAAAACTATTAGAGATATCATAAGTATGAATCCATTGTATCGAGAATCTCTGCAACAAATGCTTCATCAAGGACAAAGAGTAGTCGACAATCCAGTTTACCTGAGTGATTTAGGTGCTGCTTTAACTGGAGCAGATGCACAAGAATTGCAGCAAGTCCTAGAAGAAATGGATGTATGTATATCCTTTAATATTTATTGAATAATATAAATATTTTGCGATATATAATTAATTTTTTTTTATTTTAATTTTTTTAATTTTTTTTTCTTTTTTCTTTTTTCTTTTTTTTCCTCATAAACATAGATTCTTAAAAGATTGAGATTATCGCTTGCACTGTTAAAGAAGGAATATGAATTAAGTAAATTACAACAAAAGATTGGTAGGGAAGTTGAGGAAAAAGTAAAGCAACAACATAGAAAATACATATTGCATGAACAGTTAAAAGTCATTAAGAAAGAACTAGGTTTAGAAAAGGATGACAAAGATGCGATAGAAGAAAAATATAGAGAGAAAATAAGGCAGAAAACAGTTCCCAAACCTGTTATGGATGTATTAGATGAAGAATTAAATAAATTAAGTTTTTTAGAAAGTCATAGTAGTGAATTTAAGTGAGTACTTTCGAGAATAACTTTTTAATAATTTTGTTACGTTTACTATAACATTCAATTTTTTTTTTTTTTTTTTTTCTTTTTTTCTCCACATCCAGTGTTACAAGAAATTATTTAGATTGGCTAACTTCAATGCCTTGGGGTATAACTAGTCCAGAAAATTTAAATTTACAACAGGCTGTAGAAATTTTAGATGAAGATCATTATGGAATGGAGGATATAAAAAAAAGGATTCTTGGTATATAATCGTTTGACATTTTTGTCTAAAAAATTGATAGTAATAAAATTTTACATATGCCTTGTTCTATTTTTCAGAATTTATTGCTGTCAGCCAATTGAAAGGTTCAACTCAAGGAAAAATATTATGTTTCCATGGTCCTCCTGGAGTAGGAAAAACATCTATAGCTAAATCGATAGCTCGTGCACTTAATAGAGAATATTTCAGATTTAGCGTTGGAGGAATGACAGATGTAGCAGAAATTAAAGGACATAGAAGAACATATGTAGGAGCCATGCCTGGCAAAGTTATTCAATGCTTGAAAAAGACTCAAACAGAAAATCCATTAGTGCTGATAGACGAAGTAGATAAAATTGGAAAGTTTGTACTTCAATGATATAAATATTTCATTATAAATTTTTTAAAACAAATAATTTTTGACATATATCATTAATAGGGGACATCAAGGAGACCCTGCTTCTGCCCTTTTAGAAATGTTGGATCCAGAACAAAATGCGAACTTCTTAGATCATTATTTGGACGTTGCAGTCGATCTGTCAAAAGTTTTGTTTATATGCACGGCAAATGTAGTCGATACTATTCCAGAACCTCTTAGAGATCGAATGGAAATGATCGAGATGTCTGGTTATGTAGCAGAAGAAAAACTTGCAATTGCTAAACAATATTTAATACCACAGGCTATGAATGATTGCGGGCTTAACGATTCGCAAATTACTATGCAGGACAATTCACTTACATCTTTGATTAAATATTATTGTCGAGAATCAGGAGTTAGAAATCTTCAGAAACATATAGAAAAAATTCACCGTAAAGTGGCTTTCAAAGTCGTTAAGAAAGAAATAGACAGAATCGATATAACTGCAAGCAATTTACATGATTTTGTAGGAAAGCCTGTATTTACACAAGATAGAATGTATGAAATTACACCTCCAGGTGTAGTTATGGGTCTTGCATGGACTGCCATGGGTGGTTCTACATTGTTTATTGAAACTGCTATTCGAAAACCTATAAATGTAAACAAGATGGAGGGTACATGTGAATCAACTGGTCACTTAGGAGAAGTTATGAAAGAATCAATCCATATAGCATTGACAGTAGCTAAGAACTTTTTAAAAGAAGAAGATCCATCAAATACATTTTTATATGATTCTCATATACATTTACATGTTCCTGAAGGAGCTACTCCAAAAGATGGACCAAGCGCGGGTGTAACTATAGCAACAGCATTAATTTCTCTTGCTAAAAATCAAGCTATTAGACAGGATGTTGCTATGACAGGAGAACTTAGTTTAATAGGAAAAGTTTTACCTGTTGGTGGTATTAAAGAAAAGACAATTGCGGTAAATAAAATAATCTAATATATTAAAATGTTTATGTGTATGCAACAGAATATAATCTTTTGTTATATGTTATTTATATTTTCAGGCAAAAAGGGTAGATGTTAAGTGCATAATATTACCAGAGGAAAATAAGAAAGATTTCAATGATCTTCCAAAATATATAACAGATGGTCTTGAAGTTCATTTTGCTTCAACATTTGAAGACGTATATCGTATATGTTTTCTAGAAGGACAAAAAGCTCCAACTATTAACAATGACGAAACACTTTCAAATATTCATATATCATCCAAACAACCAGCACCTTTAATTGGTAAACAGGATTCTTTATGAAGATATACTTTATGAAAATATACTTTATTGTATATGGGTTTGTATTTTGTATATTTAGTCATCTTATATATTCTTAATCAATATTATTTAAAAATAAATTTGTTAAAATCTCTCTAATATGAATGCAAAATTGCAGCGTCCAACAGTATCCAAGTCGGATATATTCATTGATAATGGAGCCTGTTATGTTAATCTTGTACAAGACAGTTTAATTGGTCATTTTTACTTCATTTTTAAATGCTATTGAAAAATATGTATAAAAACTGTAAAATGTGACAGAATTTTTCTATATTATTATGTACTGCCAGATAGTATAATTATAGAAAGCAGTTTATATTTCATTACAGATTTTTGTAATCGACATTCATTTAAGGAACATAAGATTCTACACAAAAATCAGTATAGTTATTAACAATATTAAATACAATGTATATTTTTCAAAAAAAGTTAAAAAGTAAGTATGATAGTAGTTATTATCAAAATAATTATTGAATGTCTTGAAAAGCCAAAATTAATTTTAAATATATTTTCGATTTAATTAAAATAGGTATGAAAGAATATTATTCAAAGATTAACAATAGAAATATATATAATTAAAATTTTTAAAAAGATTAATTTATCTCAATATATTTGCTAAATAAATATTCTTATTTTGTACAAATTTATGAACTATAAAATATAATGAAATTTATAAATTATAACATCTAACAATACTTGAATTATTCTTTTAATATAATTGTTCAAATTGAATATCTTTAATATGAGTAAATTTTAAACTTAATTATATTTCCATATAATTTCAATTTTATTGATAATATACAATTTATTAAATAGAAGATATTCGCTTAAAAAGTTTGCTAATTTGTCTAACATATATTATATTATTAATAAAATTTATAACATGCAAGTTGAAATATAGCCAGATGTACATATTTTATTCTTTTATTATATCATCATTTATTTTATAATAATATCAATGTTGATAATTCATTTGAATATGGAAAATTTTTATTTCTTTCATGGATAAACATATATTTTCAAATCAAATTATATATAAATATATATAAATATATATATATATATATATATATATATATATATATATTAGTATGTATATATAATGTATAAAATATTACATTTGATATATTTTTCGTATCAGCATAGATTAGATATCTAGCTATATTATCATTAATTTATATAAATCTATTATGATTAAGAGAAATAAAATAATATTATCGTTGGAATTAATAACATTTATTGTCTGAATTAATAATAATCATATATAAACATATGAAATAAATTAAAAGTGAAAAAACAAAACAAAACAAAAGAATGAAAAAAGAAAAAAGATAATTTTAAAATTGAGGTTAAAATGTTTGGCCATTTATGTTTATAAATTTTGAAATAAATAAAAGCTCTAGATATGGAATAAATTTAATGCAAGTTTCTCGAAAAAGTAAGAAGATCATGCTCGAAGTCTATATAAAAACTGTGACAGTTGCAAAGTAAATGAGGTTGAAAATGATCAATAAATATAACCCCTGCCGCTTAAAGAAGCGTTATCCCTTTAGCCGATCAGCCGCGACGTAAATCACGACGTGAAAAGAAGAAATTAAAAGAAGGAAAACGAAACAAAATAAAACAAAAAAAGAACAAGACAAAAAAAAGAAGGAGGAGGAAAATGAGGAAGTGGAAAGATCGATAGAAGAAATAACGAACGCATATAATAATACGTATTACGTATAATGGTGAATATAAGTGTAGGTGTAGGTGTAGATGTAGGTATCACACTTATCGATCTTATCGATGTCCTTCGTAGAAAGATCATACAATTCCTGGTCAGCAGAAACATCCGTTTGAGAAAGATAACTGCATAGTTAACATTATTTGTTTCTTCTTTTCGTCTTTTTTTTTTTTTTTTTTTTTTTCAATATATTTATTTCGTGTTCTCGTTTTACGAAGTGTCGCTATCAATGAGACACACAATTACGAGCGAAAAGTTACGTTCAATAACGTAATAGAATTTCACGTCTTCTCTCTACACGAATATTACGTGATACTACATCTCTGTCAATGATATGTTTTCTACGTACGAGATAGACGAAGAGCACGCGCACGAAAATAGAAAAGAACAGTAAGTAAACACATACATAAATATTATGTGAACGTCATGTTTCTCTTTTTCTTTCTCTCTGTCCTTTTCTTTGCCTCTCTCTCTCTTTCTCTTTCTCTCTCTCTTTCTCTTTCTCCATTCATCTATCTATCTTTCTCTCTTTCTTTCTCTTTCTTTTATTCGATTTTTTTTCTTTCTTTCTATTGGATGACCCAAATTTTGAAAGCTGAGAAAAGCAAGCCATTTCCTGTCAAAGTATTCGTCCGTGAAAATTTGTTTTCTCTCTTGCCATTAGACTAACTATCTCAAAAACATTTACCTCACATATAATAATTTTGCTTTAAATGCACCGGGCAAATGCAAAGAGGTTAGAAAAGACTCAAGCGACGTTCGATTGGTCAACGAGAATCGACCAATCAGACATCGAGATGTTTTATTTTTTTTTTTTTTCATACGGTAGTTAGTTGTAGAACACTTGTTGCTAGTGGCTGATTTATGTCGAAGTAAATTCGGGGAATTCGAATAATCGTTGATAATTATACGAATGTTAACTGTCAGTGATCGTGGATTTTATTAAAAAAAAAAAAAAAAAAGAAAAAAAAGAAAAAAGGTATTTTCTTATTATCGATTTTAATTAATTCTTTTCACTTTCATTTTATTTCACGATTAATTAACTTATTTCGTTTAAAAGACAGCACATTTATCATACAAAAATGATATTCTTTTTATGTACCTCTCGTTACTCATTTTTTTTAGCTTTTTCTTTTCATTTCTTTTTTTTTTCTTTTTTCTTTTTTTGTCTTAAATTCAATTATGAACGCATGTAAAGTATATTAAAAATTGTTTCTTATAGATTACGATAGTCATAATTTCGAAAGATTTTCATTCGATTATTAAAACGATCGAATATATACAGAGAGTCAAGGGTCAGCGACTTTAAAATGATTAAACTCATTTGAAGAATATTAGATAAATGGTAACAAAAATTTTATATTCATCATAAATATTATTGTATCGTTGATATCTCATCTGTTCAAACATTAAAAAGTCTGATAATATTTCTATACACGCTCGCGCGCGCGCGCGCCCACGCCTGCGCACACGTACACACATACATTATATGCACTCATATATGTGTATGCTTTCGAAAACAATTAAATCAAATTTAAGAAATATTTATACTCGTTATAAACGTAATCGATAGTACATAGTATCATTGATATATTTCATCCGTTCAAATACGTATGTAAAAATTTGATAATTAAAAATTTCTCTATATAATATGTGCATGTATATGCGTGTATGCATAAAAACAATCGTATGAAATTGAAACGTTTTTTGAAAACAGAAAATATATATATATATACTCTGTGGTTCACTTTAGTTAACTATTTATCTTTCAATAAGCGAGTATCTTCAAACATGTTAAGTCAGAAATCAATTAGAATACATTATTACTGGCATGGAGAGGGAGGTGAACGGAGGAAATCATGCAATACCGATTACTCTAACAATAAGTACGTAGTATTGTCGATACATATGTTTGATATCTCAAAACTTCAATAACAATAGAGTAAACAATATGATTCCGATATATATATATTTTTTTTTTTTCACGGAATTATGATTTTTTTTTGCACAATTAAAAAAAAAGAAAAAAAGACAAGGGTTAATATTTGATAGAAAAAGCAAGAACTTGCTTTGATCGATACTGTAAACTTTGGTCGGCATTGCACAACTCTTTTCTGTTTATTTAATTGAAGCATATATTTTTTTTAATTTTTTTTTCTTTTCTTCCTCTCTCTCTCTCTCTCTCTCTCATTGATATTCTTGCACGAAGAAATTCAGAAAATTAAGCATATCCGTTCTATAATCATCCTTCTTGCTATTTTATTTAACTTCGTAGGCGTAAAATACTAAGAGAAGAACGGTTTTATAGTTTATGTGTGTGTGTGTGTGTGTGTGTGCGCACGTGCGTGCATGTGTGTGTATAAGTGCAGGCACATTGGATGTATGTAATTTTCAAGTTAAACTACATATATTATGATTAAGAATTCTTTCGCGACGCGTTCTTCGTATCAAACTGAACTACATATTCATCTCATTCAGTATCAAGTCATAGAGTTACAAGGTAGAGAACTTACACCGAACGTACGTAAGGAATTATATTACTTTATTGTAAGAGTTTCATTCATTTTCTTTTGTTTTTTTTTTCTTTCTTTTCTTTTCTTTTCTTCTTTTCACAATCAGATTTTGTTGAGATTATATTATTTAAATAACTAAATGGGAGTATGTCTTTTTCTTCTTTTTTTTTTTTTTTTTTGGCTCGTTATTAGTAATCAATTTACTTATGTAATATAAACGATAGTAAAAGTGGCTTCAAACAAAGTCGAAAAAATTATTTTTTTTCTCTCAAAATTTTTCGCAATAATATCACTTTTTACATACTAACACTTATCGTTACAAGAGAACATAAGTTCTATCGCGTTGATATAGAAGATATGATATACAAGAAGATAAGGCTTTATCTACTCACGAATTCTCAATATAAAATTTTAATATTACTTAATGTGAATTCACATGTATCGATTGAAGATTACCTACGATATGTTATGTTTGTACATAAAATACTTTAAAATTCATAGTTACATTTGTATTTTCTTATCGATTTAATTAATATTATCTTCTTTTTTCATTTTTCCTTTTCATGGCTCAAGTTAAATTGATTAGAAGAAGACGAATTTATCTTTTTTTCTTTTCTTTTTTTCTTTTCTTTTTTTCTTTTCCCCTGTTTTTTTTTTTCAGAAACTTGATATCAAAACTTCAAAAGAAAAAAGGAAAATCTCTTTGATGATCGATGCGGATTTCTTATCGTATTATGATCAACCCTATTGTTAAGTGATGTATGTGAAGAGTTAAAATATGCCATTGTATTTAATCGTTCTATTAATATGGAGTTTTACGATACAAGAAAGATCATGTATCAAATTAAAGAGAATAGCTTTACGACCGTCCAACATATTGGACGATTACTATGCTTATCGGCATATTTCGATTATTCATTTCGATGTACCAGAGTATACGATTACCGCGGGATTCAAGTAAGATTTCATTCCCTATTAATTTATATATATATATATTTTGTTTTTTTTTTTTTTTTTATTTCTTTTTGAAGATGAGTTATATTCTTACTTATTTTTATAAAACTCTATTATATATAAAATCTTTATATAATTAAATTGAATATTTATATATCATTAAAATGCATTGTCTAAAAATAAATATTATTTAATATAAAGTATGTATGTATATTTATATATACACATATATATATACATATATATATATACCTATTATGTCTTATTGTTTTTTTATTAGATTTACAATAAAAGAAGAAAAAACCGGCGGAATAGGTAAATGTTCTCCGAGATATGTTTCATTGTACTTGAAATCCGGTAGTCTACCATTAGTTAGTCCAGATGGATCGATTATCGAGGCAAAACTTATAAAACGAAGACGCAAATACTATCCTTTAAATATGCAAAGCAATGGTGACGAACATATGATCAATATCGATTCTCCAATACCAGGTGACTGGTATGTAATAGCTTTTCGATCTTGGACCGATCCTAATAGCGACAAGATCAAGCAACAAGGTGAATATTATTATTATTACCTTTCTCATACATATATATATACATACATACATACATACATACATACATACATACATACATACATACATACATACACACTCATATATTCAATTTAATTATCAATGATTATTAAATTATATTTATTTAGGTCTCGGTGCATCATGTGATACCGTACTCGATGCTGAGTTGTTAATAGAGATGCCATCTATGGTATCCTTAATAGATTTTAATAACGAATATGAAATCGAATTAAACAGAAGTAAAAATACTTTTGTCGGCCACATTTTTATGCCAGATGATTTATTAAACGTGGTACTTGCATTGAATCAATCATATGAAAACAATTGTAAATTTGCAATTCATGTTGTTGCACAGGAACATCTTATAGGGACGATCGTTAATGACACTGATGTCTTGTTGTCCTTCAAACCTTATTCAAGATCATTACATTACATTACGCTACGTTTAATATCCGGAAATATGTCGAAAATATCTTTACGTTTTGAAAACAATACTTCTTCATTCATTGATTTCAATCAAGTTAAAAGCATAAGTTTGATACGAAAATCATTGCCGGAATTCTTTGTATTCGATTATGAACATCGTGGTGAAAATGATACGAAATCTATGCCTTTCAATCTCACAAGCGATGGTATTACCGTCCTTGACTTCGAGATTGCCCGTGTTTACGATGTTGGTGGTACAGTGACAGTGGGTATAAAAATGCTCAACGTGGATAAAAAGGATCAAAAGAATATTTTCATCGTAGCTTGCATTACCTTGGGTCAGTCCTATTTATATAAGCTTTTGCATAATTGATTGTATTTCATTTTATTTATTTTTTTTTCTTTTCTTTCTTTCTTTCTTTCTTTTTTTTTGTCTCTGAAATAAGATCGATTATATCTCATATATACTTTAATCTTTGACAGATTAAGATCCATAACAAATGTGAATTGTTTTCTTCTGATTTGTTATTATATTAATATTTGTAAATTATAATCTTTGAAAGACATTTGATATGGATCGGATAATTATTATTGAAACGATAATATTTGCCATAATGCATAATCCATTAAAAGTTCTTTTATTCTTACGCTTTTGTGTTTGCTATTGAATAATTAACAATATACGGATGTATAAATAATTAATGTTTATTCAGGATATTACTCAAATATCACAGCCGGTGGAAGTTGCATACGGGCATGGAACGTAACCGGTGCAGATATATACGTGAACGAGACAGGTCCTGGTTTGGTTCATATACCATTTCCCGAACCTGGAAGGTGGTACGTCAGTTTAAAATCATTTTGCATCGATGGAAAATGTAATTGCGCTGAGAATTGTTTGAACGGTACCATCTGTAAAGAATGCGAATGTATGAAACCGTGTTCTGTTGAAATAGAGAGCAGTATATCATCGTCGCCTTGCATCGAAGGACGTTGTAATTCACATGGCAAATGTATGCACTATATGAGCGGTGGTTTCGTTTTTTCAGCGTGTTACTGTACAGAAGGATATCGTGGTTTTGATTGCGCTGACGGAACTTACGTTCTCGGTAATAAAGACATACTCGTACGTTTGTTAATGTTAACCATCAGTAATCTTGCTTTTATTGGTTCGATATATCTGGCGATACGTCGAGAATATTTTACAGAAGCAATCGTTTACACCGCCGTTATGTTCTTTTCGACATTTTATCATGCTTGCGAAGCCGGAGAGAACGTCTATAGTATTTGTATAATGCGATTGAGCGTATTACAATTTTGTGATTTCTTCAACGCTCTTCTTTCGATTTGGGTTACATTGGTAGCCATGGCCTCCTTTGGACCAAAGCTTACAGCATTTTTCCAGATCATGGGTGCTATTGTTCTTGCTATGAGCTCAGAAATGGATCGTACGGCTCTCTGGGTATTCCTTTTACCCGCCATTACTGGATCCTCTTTGATTGGAGTTTCTTGGGGACTTAGATGTAAAAGAAGGAAAACTGTCCGATATCCTTCGCGCGTGTACAGGTTTGTACAAATCATTTTTTTAATAACTTTTACAATACAACATTGTTTTATTCAATTTATATAAAATATTATTTACAATTATTATTAATTTTCTAAGTATAAAAATGATTTTACTTTTCTTTTTTTTCTCTCTCTCTTTTTCATTAACAGAACCATCTTCTTTCCGGCGGGCCTTCTGATAGTCTCTTTGGGTCTTGTTTGTTACGCCTTTTTACAAACACGTAGTAATTATCACATTGTCCATAGTTTATGGCATATTTGTGTGGCTGTTGCGGTTATGCTTTTATTACCAAAAAGACATTACATGAAGTAAATATGTTGCGTAGTAGGATTATAGCGAATTCAGGGAGCATAAATGATAATTACGGACATACTCGTACATATTATCGTATGAAATATCTTTTTTTTTTTATTTTTTTTTTATATATATATATATATAGACGATTGTATATTACCTTAATTATTATGAAGGAAAAAAGTGTTATTCTTATAAAATTACTATTACGCTAAATTTTTCCAGGTAAGAAGAATATATAAAAAATAGTTTATAAATATACAACGTATAAATTTATCTAGAAGAAATTCAAAAGATATGTTACAAATGCAATAATATATAATATAAAAAAGAGTAATTTTCTTAACAGTATTATTTAGCATATTAGCATTTCGATGCGAACAAAAAAAAAATAAAAAAAAGAAAAATCTTATCAGTTTCAATTAAAACGATGACAAAGAATAAATGTAATTAAAAACAAAAAAAAGACAAAACAAAACAAAAAGAAAAGAACAAAAAATAAGAATATTATTATATATTATTAAGTATTTTATTATGTTATATTATTAAGACGACATTCTTAGAAAAATTGAATATAAATTGTTTCTTTCGTTGATAGATAGAATTATTGTAATTTAGAATTTTAAATGAAAGTCTTTAAGGTACGTTCAAATTGTAATTGTACATTGGAAGTTTTCATTTTCTATTGAGATATTTATAACGATTTATACAATCCTATGTATCATTTATATATATATATATATATATATATATATATATATATATATATATGTGTGTGTGTAAAATAGAGATTTAATTTGCATCATGTAGGAATCAAAACCTCGCACGTACACATATTATTTATTATAATAACATTATATATGTATAGACGCGCATATACTTTTTGTCAAATGTACACATACATAATGCATTCTATATGTACATTCATAAGTCAATATCATGAATATAGTATAGATAGCTAAGAATTTACAAAGAAAAAAATATATATGTGTATATATATATACACATATATATCACGAATCATGTATAATATGTATTTTTAATATGTATTTCTCAAATTCATAAATTCTCTAGTCGACTCTATTTTTCTTGTCCGAATGATATTGAGTTTTTTCATGTCCAAAGAAAAAGGGAGTATTTATAGTGCACAAATCAATGCACGAGAAGAGTTATAATTCTTTATACGATATCATGGCAGGAAAATATTTCGTCTTTACTATATGTATACAATTTCTCTATATGTATATATGTATATAAATATATATATATATATATATATACACATGATAAAAGGAAAATAAAAACTTGGATTGAGATTAATCGATAGAGTCGAGAAAACGAAAATAAATATGTTGTTTCTTCTTTTCTTTTTTCTTTTTTTTTTTTTTCTTTTTTTTTCTTTTTTTTTTTTCTTTTTTTTCTTCTTCTTCCTCTTCGACGTTGCAAATACAAATAAGCTTAAGAAATAAAGATATTATATTTATTTAACTAATGATAAGATAGTTATAGTAACGGAGATGTTGTAGACGACGCAGCTCGTGTATTCGCCGTCGATATAGCCGTTATAATGTTTGATAAGAGCGATAGCATTGTTTCCAAAGAGAAACCACAATGGGGATAAGAATATGAACAATTTTTACCAGAATGACCTGCTTCTACTGCCTCTTGTATCGCCGTCCCTTGCATGGCTGTTCGAAAAACTTGATTGGTAGTTATCGCATCTATCATTCTATCGAAAGAAGATATCTTTTCATCTTCGTTCTCCTCGTCGGCTACTTTTACAGCTGCAGCAGCTTGTTGAGAATAAGTACAAACAGCTCGTTGCATACAAGATGTTGTATCTATACCGTGACGAGCCAATGCGTCGTCCAATTTTGTCATCGATTGTGCAAAACCATTTTCTTCGCCTGTAAAGAATTCTTTTTTTTCCTTCTTTTTTTTTTTTTTTTTTTTTTTTTTTTAATCATTATAAAATACATTCTAATTTCTAATATGGACTTGTTTCGACGGATGCTTATATATTTTTGCATTTATACCATAGGTATAAATGTTACATTTGAATTTTAATAATACTTACTTCTCGCATAATTTCCGTAGGTACCCGATAGAACGTATAATAATTTTGGAATGATGAGAATGGAACCGACTCCTATAATAGCACCTAAGAGAAGTCCACCCAAATCTATTTTTGCTGGAGCATAAGGTGATATAGCGTAACCCTATGAGTATAAATAGTTCGATAGATATTTTAATCTAAATATCTATAAGGGATTGACATGATATTTATTTGGAGTTTAAAATCGTTAAAAAAGAACCAAATGGTCTATACAAATTTTATACTTACAGAACCAGAACTTCCAATATTAGTGAAACCAAAGCGTGCTTCTTGATTACGATCCGAGATATCATTGATCGTAGTTTCCTCATGTTTCATTGATGTATCAGTCCGAATTTCGGCTTGGGATGGCATTGCCACTTGATCCTGTGCCTTACCAATTTTTTCCATGTAAGCTATCGAACTTGGTATAAAACTATATGAATTAAATAAACAATTAAGGAATTATTTCGTGAACTGTAATATTATAATAATTAATATTTTCTTATTATCTCTTACCCTCTGTCGTCATATTTGGGAATACAATTCGCATGGACCGCCAAAAATATGAAGGCCACTATGATATTATTTAAATTATCTTGTGACATCTGTAAAAAAAGAAAAAGAAAAATGATAATAATTAAAAGAAACACGTGAGTATAAGTTTCTTTTTCTTAGATTTTTATTTTATTCCAATTTTAATTACAAATTGTAATAATAAACATAAAATTACGTACGCGCGTACATTTAATTATTATAATATTATCTTATTAATAAATTGATTTTTATTTGAAGTTTACCTTGAGGGTTAATGATCTGAAATAATTCATTCACAAAGTAAATTAAAAAAGTAATTCGTCTCTTAGCAGATGTCCATACGGGAATGCTTTCACTAGAAACTGTGAAAATAAGACTCTGTTTCTGACATATATAGTTCTGTACCACCCCTTTGTGGATATGACAAATCGTCGACATAATTGCAGTACGGTTTCGCTTTCATTGTTAGATTTCCATGTGATATTATCACGATGCGTGACGTTCTACTACCTTCTCGCGTCATTCTTTTAGTAAGTAAGAATACATTCTATAGGTATATATCTTTTGTCACCGAAAGCACTCTCCTCTAGCATTGTTATTATTGCAGGTCACTCTTACCGAAATTGTGAGTACTCACAATTATTTCGAAGCTGAAATAATTTGTCTTTTGCAACATTAATTGTTCGACTATTAACGTGTCAAACTGATTTTTCAGTTTCAGTCTTATTCTAAAAATATACCATGTATATAGTCTATGTATTTTAAATTGTGTTTTATTTATAGTTTTTTTTCTTCTCTCTTTTTTTTTTTTTCTTTTTTATCATCAGCTATAAGATATTAATATAATAATTACATTCGATTATTCGATTGTATAAATATTTTAATAAATATGATATACATAAGGTAACAGGAAAATGTCTATAATTTTATTATCGTTGATAAGTCTTAATTTTAGATATCGTTTCAAGGTAAACAATTCTAAAGCGAGAAAGTGGATGTACATACTTTGGAGCAATATTAACGACAGTGAAAAGAAATGAGCGTAAACATTTCATAGATTCTATATATGTACATTTGTCTTTGCAGAATGGAATTCGTTCTGGACGTTGCTTAGGAAAATTTGCGAAAGTTACGCGAAAGGCACGACATGTGCAGTGTACGTGCGTAATTGGACAATTCGTCTCTTTCACGTAAGGAGACCTTTTTATTTTTCTTTCTATCCAAGTGAAAATAATAGTATAGCAATTGTTAATAATTTCGATATAAGTACATATGTTTACTCTATTTAAAATAAAAATGATAATTAGCGGAGAGAAATGTATTTATGCACATGTAAAATTTTTTTTTTTTTTTATAAGTAACATATAATTTTAAGTGATAAATAATAAGATATAATAATTGCTAATGTCCATTTCCCTGGTACAATTTAGTCTATCGTTCTTCCTTTAGGCTCGTTAATTCTATTCGAGAAAAGGAATTTCCTGTTCGTCGAAGGGGTGGGCTAGGCATTATACATAGTCTGCTAGCTAGCTAGAACTCGACTTTGTAAGAAACTGTCCATCAATGCCATCGTGTTTGATAAAAGTAAGCTAAGAATACACATTTATTATTATAATATTCGTTAAAAATTTACAATTAGTTTATCTTTTCTTCGTTATTTCCTTGTTTTTTTTTTTTTTTTTGTTTTTTTTCCTTCGTTGTAATACATTTTTTTTTAAATATGTTTATAAACGTGAAGTGAATGTGATTATTGTATGTGATTATAGTTTATCCGTATCTATTCTAATAATAATTCTTTGAAAGTGAAAATATTCTCTATTATCATTATGTCATGGAAATTTATTTAACAATATAATCAAAATGTTTTTCTTTAATTAATCCATGTGTTTTTATTAGGAACATACGATATACGAAAGTTTTTCAAAAATGAACGTGACCCTCTTACTTGTGTTTCTTATTATACAATTAACAACAGCCGATTATATATCTACTGGATTCGATAAAGGAAAAACTTCCAAAATGAAAAATCCATTTTATGGTCATTCGAAACCACGATTTATTTCGTTCGATTCCGAAGAAGGAAATATCGATGTAAGTTGGCTAGAAAAAAAAAGTCGATTATTTCATATTATATAAAAAAAATTTTAATTTTATTTTTGACTATTGAAATTTTCTTAGATCAGTTGGGACGTATCAATACCTTTTATTTCTATTCCATTACTGTATAAAAATGAAGAGAACGAACATTCGCCAACGCTTCTCAGTGTTAATACAAAAGCATTAACAATCGCTGGATTGGTGACAGGAATTTCTTCTTTAATTGCACCACTATTTTCAAAACCAATTACACCGTCATCGCAATCGCATTATCGTTGGTTGATCATACATTTTTGTTTTTTTTTATCATATATAACAATGATTAAAAATAATATATTATAATAATGTTTTTATATTTTCAGGAACGGACGAGGGAATGGAATGGTCAACAATGGGTAATACAATTAATGAAATAATTTTTTCCAATAATTATATAGCTCCTTGTATGCAACATATTGTTTGTTCGATCGTATCGGCCGCCAGTCGTGCAGATAATCCTACGAGTACAGAAAAAATTATCGATGGTTTATCCAGGTATCATTTTGATTAAAATCATTCTTTTAAATGTTGTTTAGTAAATGGTGTTGGTATTAGTTACATATTATTCTTATTATCTTATCATTATAGTCATAGATGGTTCAAAGATGCGACAAATGGGACACTTATACAAGATGCGATTTCGATAGGTCGTGATGATAATCGTGATTGTACAAGAGTTTATAAAAATTGTTTGATAACGCCAAGACTTTTCAAAAATTTCATGAATCAATTCGGAATAATGTGAGTTGATCAAAAAATTACGAAGAAAAAACGGATCAAATATTATCTGTCTCATATTCCAATTATTATGATAATAATTTAAGAATAATTTGATACAATTAAGTTTTTCAATATTTATGAATTAATTGCTATTATTAAAACTAATTTTATATAAAGTGTATGATATATGTTTGTATATATATATATATATGTATAAGTATATATATATATATATGTGTGTGTGTGTGTGTGTGTGTATGAGTTATGAAGACAATTTTCTATTATCTTTTATCTATTTTTTATGAATGAAAACAACTTTAAATAAAAAGATTGATATTGTTGGGATTATAGAGCAATTAGATCGATTTTTTGTAGTCTATTTTCTTTTTTTTTTTTTATGTATAATAAAATTTATGTTACGTATAAGTATATCTATTTGAAAATAAAAAATATAATTGCTTTGTTTGTTATGATTAATAATAGAAAAATTGAAAAACATTTTACGTTGGCTCTAATACTATTTAATAATATTTTTATTCCATTTCAATTTGCCACTCCCACTGTATACTAATCACTCAAGGGTTATCGCCATGACGCGACAGTTTGTAATTGTACGTGATTGGATAATACTGTATTGTTAAGGTTAGAAAACGTCCAATCATCTCAAAGATTTTTTATCGTCGCATCGTAATTGGATCGTATATATGGCCGATTCCAGTTGATTCATAAGTTTATCGAGACCAATCGCCAGGTCGTAACAATCGCCACTCGTATCAAGATACTCGACATTCGGAAGTTGAACTTTTTCTGCCAACATATAGTATATCATACTGGATGAAAGATTTTTATCCAAATGTCAATTTTTATTCCTCCTTGTCATTATAATTCTAGTTGATGTTAGAAACATCGACAATATCACGAGTATAATTGATGTGTACTCAAAGGAATATAACGTAGTAATACACGTTAAAAGTGTACAGGCGTTTTATGGATTATCAAGGCATGTTTGACATCACAGAAACGAGTGTTCCGTTTTAGGTAAATAAATTTATCATAGTGTTATTCACACTTCCCCTCCACCCGTATTCGCATATTTTTATGTGATTATAATTCGATTGAAATTGTATGGAATATTTTATCCTTTAAGAAGATAACAACTGTAACCTAATTTTCTAACTTTTCACAATATAATAGACGCCCATTAAATTTATAATTAGAAATTTATAACAGAGCCGTTGCCGTTTTCATTGGTTTTATATTAAGAAATTAATTCTTTTATTTAAAAATAAATATATATCGCCAATGGAATATATTTTCTTCATCCTTGTATTCTTTCTTTCCAATTTTCCAAAATGTCTTTTTATCTTATGTGAGAAAATAATAGAAGAAAAAAGAAAAAAAAAAAAAGAAAGAGAAAGAAAAAATGTATATAATTATTTACTGTTGTTGATGTATAGTAAAAAAGAAATAAAAATGCCGGCACCACCGCCACTACCTCCTGCTTTTACCGCGCCTCCTCCTGTGTCAGGTGAACAAGATAGGAGTTTGTTGTTACAATCAATTAGAGAAGGAAAAGCTCTAAGGAAGACAGTTACGGTAGATAAAAGCGCACCAGCTATAAGTGGTATGCCTTGACTCAAAGATGCTTCATTTATATTAATTCATATAATTCTTTATGAAATTAAATAGATATACATTTAACAAATCAAAGTATTAAATATTGATTTTTACCTATAGGTAAAGTCAAAGGTGATTCAACTTCTATAACTTCCGGCAGTAGTGGTAACAATGGCCCTAATACATTCAGTAGTAGTATTGCTAATAATAACAATAGTGGACCAATAGGCCTAGGTGGATTATTTTCAAGTGGTATGCCAAAGTTAAAGCCAACGGGTCTTAGAGGAAACACAATTGAAAAAGATTCGCATACTACTATCAATAACAGTAATTTCTCTAATTCATCTGGTAATTTGAATCAAAATGTTAAACGAGGGCCTCCTCCAATTCCACCTCCAGCTACACAAAAACCTCAAGTATTTCCTCAAGTAAGAGAAATATATTCATTTCTGATTAGTTATATAATATATGTGTATAATGTTGATGTTATTTCCAATGGAACAACATTTTATTATTATTAATTATTATTGTTATTATTATTATTATTATTATTATTATTATTATTATTATTATTATTATTATTATTATTATTATTATTATTATACAGGTATCAAGTGGAGCAGATTCAGCAAATTCTAATACAGATGGACATAAAGGCTTTGGCAAACCAACACTCGCGCCTAAACCACCACCACCATCCACAGCTCCTCAGAAACCATCGCCACCTCCTAAGAAATTAAGTTTAACAAGTTCTGGGAGTGTCTCAAGAGCACAAAGCATGAGGTTACCCAGGTCTCCACCAGTTCTTGCCCCAACACCACCATCCCTTCATCAATCGCAGGATTGCTTAAATGAACCTCAATCAAGACCCACGAATCGTGTTCTTAGACCTCCTATTGCTAGACCGCCATCTCCTCCAATATCCAGAGCGACATCTTCAATGATGATAACAAGAGCAGCACCACCACCACCTTCCAGAGTTACGGTTACAGCCCCCTGCATTCCTCCGCCACCTCCACCTCTTCCGCATCGTCCTCCAACTCACCAAAGATTGGCTGCACCTCCACCTCCACCACCAACACCTCCTACGAGAGGCTCGTCGATGAGAAATGGACAAGCTACAAATTCTAATCTTGATTTGGAGATAAGATTTGCAGAAATGTTTCATTCTGTTTCGAGTTTTCCACCACCAGAAGCTTTTAGAGGATTTACAAAGATCTACAGCAGTAGAAATGGTAAGAAAAAAAGTAAAAATAAATTTAATACGCTCAAGAAATTTAATGTTAAACAGCAGATATCTGAGATATTTGTTTGATGTGCATATATATATATATATATATATATATATATATATATATATATATATGCTTTCATACTGATTCATGGATAGTCCTTATAAATTATTTTTGATTAATAGATTTCTCACTAATAATACACAATTTCTCTTTTATTTATTTACAACAATAGCTTAGTTTTTATTCAATGACTCTAAGCATGTACTTATACATATATTTGTCAATTTTTTATCTAACTTTTTAAAAAGAATAATCAATTCACTAATCAAGGACTATCTTGCATCCTATCACATTATAGCTAATGATTTATTTAAGAGTCATTTGATACAATTGATGATCGCATGTATTCGAGCTGGTTTGGTTTAATAATAGGTACTGTTATAGTTTGATTTATTGTAACTGTGCCAACTGTTCTAAAAATGAATGTAATGCTAGTACAATTATTCATTTATCGGAAAAGGGTTATAGGGTTTTCATCTGCAATAATCTGGATAAATCAAATTCACCATAACATTATTCATCAATTTATTATTATAAAAATATATTTTGTATATTTTTATAATAATAAACAATCAATTTATTATTATAAAAAGTCATCATTTTAAACTTTTTTCGTGATAAAAAATATCACAAAATCATTCATTTCTCACTCACTTTTTTTTATACATACATATCATATTGTATTTTTAATAAAAATAAATTTCATATGTCCACATTAATAAATCGAAAATCTCTTAAGTTAACCCATTAATAAACATTTCATAGCACGTTATTTAAATATAATGAATTTAATATAAATTCTGTAAATAATTGCTATAATTTTCATGTTTAATTGCATGCTGCATGTATATAACTCTATCTATGTAAATTGGTATAGCTTTATATAAGAAAAGTATATGTATGAAATTAATAAGTATATTAAAGATATAATAAAAATGATTAAAAAATTACAGCTGCAAAGCAACAGGCTCCAGCACCGCCTCAACAAACATCTAATCCAAATACAATACTTCCCTTAAGTGTTTCGTCTAGTAACAGTGGTAATACAATGCAATCAACGTGGCATGTTAAAAACTTTTAGTTACCTAAGTTATCTCATTTTGTTTATGAAAAAAGATCAGCATTTAACATTGTTTTACACATTAACAAAATAATAATGTGTGAATACATAGAAAAATTGTGTTTGCAGAGAATCTAAGTTACTGTTATTGAAAGTGTATTGAGAAGGTCTATTTAGAGTTGTAATTATAATTAAATTTAACAAAAAAAAATCTGAGGAGTTATTACATAGTAATTGAAAATATAAAATTTCCTTCTAAAGTGCAATGATACTCTGCTCTGTAATAAATCTGTTTATAATGCTTTTACCTAATATTTAATACTGCCAGACTTTCAATTTTTCTATGTTTCAGTTTTAATCCTTTATTATATGTCAGACATTCTTTCGTAAAAATTTCAATGCACAAAAAAATTTCATATTATATCTATGATTAATATAGGTATATTTAAGTTAAAACTAACATGAGATCATAAACTTGTTAAATAATGTTGGAAAACAATTGCAACAATAAGTATTAATGCAACCTAATTGTTAAAAAGTTCATATATACATGCATTATGTTGTAACATTATTTAAAAAATATAAAATGTTACATATTTTTATTTCTATCAATAGTTTCTCATAATCCATTATTTCATATGTACATTTTCATAGCAAACGATTTCCAATATGTAAGTATAATCAGGGGTAATATTAAACTGAGAAATATCTTAGTTATATTCAAAACTGATATTTATTATGAATTATAAAGAAAAATATTTTTTTAACTAGGAAACTCTTCTCTCGGAGATCTTCATTAAAGTAATATAAAGGATGACTAGAATCTAATATGATAATAAAACTCATATTAAACATAAAAAAAAAAAATAAAAAAAAACAAAAAAAATTCAAATGTATTCAATAATGATCGTATATTAAGTATTGAAAAAGAAAAAAAAAATATTAATAATTTGAATAATGTTGTAAAATATATTTTGAGAAATTCAACACAAGCATGGAAGTTAAAGACTGTATTGTGTTGTGTATCTGTATATATGTATATATGTATATATGTATATGTATATATATATACATATATATATGTAACAATATATTTAATTTATTCAATTTTATTATAGAAAGAAATATAACATATCTTCGCAATTCGATGAACTATAAGGAACCCATAATGTGTAAAGAATAAATAAATTGGAAGTACTGAATTGTGGATTAAATAAAAATAAATTATATATAGGGCGAAGGGGGGAGGGGACGATATTAAATGGCATTGTATACGAATTTAATTAACGCGATTATTTTCTAAAATTTTCATAACATTGCATTATTTAATACAAGGTAGCATAAGTAATTTGTAAGATTAAAACATATAAACAAAATCATATTTTTTATACTTCAAGCTCTCTTTCAATAATCCTACGATATTCATCGAAGCCTCCTTCAATACACCGAACTGATCCTTCGCCACAGACCCATAACTCTGTACAAACCATACGTATTAATCGTTCGTCGTGCGACACTAAAATAACACCCGCCTAGAGAAAAAAAAATAAATAAATAAATAACAAAGAATAATATAATAAATCGTATACACAAATATCGCAATAATAAATCATTTAATAATCATAATGGAATTATATATAAAAATCTTACTTGACAGCTATTGAGTGCTTTTCCTAATGCCTCGATTGATTCTATATCCAAATGATTCGTAGGTTCGTCGAGTACTAAGAAATTTGGCATTGCTGCACACATTAAAGCAAAAGCTACCCTTGATTTTTGGCCTCCTGATAACGAATTGATCGTTTGCAATGCTAAATCACCACTTATCCCAAAACTACCAAGCATTCGTCTGTACTCCTCGATTGGTTTACCTAAAAAAAAAAAAAAAAAAAAAAAAAAAAAATGAATTATTAATGCGAGATAAAAATAAAAACATACTATACGACAAATCCTATGTCACATACCTGGAAAATGATTTTGCAATAATTCGACAGGACATACACGCATATCTAATTGATCAACGTGATGTTGACTAAAATATCCAAATTTCAAGTTACGATGCACGTGCACTGTGCCTCGTGTTGGACTTAAAGCATTTGTTATTATTTTTAATAACGTGGTTTTACCCGCACCATTTTCACCCACAATACAAATACGAGATTGTAAGCTTGCCGTTAAATTTACACCAGTAAAGACGTATGAATTATCGTTTCCAGTTTCATAACGAAATGAAACTTCATTCAACTGAAGTATTGGAGGACTTAATGGTTCAACGTCAGGGAATCGTAGTGTTACTTCTCCTTCCTTTTCCATGGGTTTTAATTCTGGTCTATAAAATAAAATAAAAGAAGAAAAAAAAAATATGTTTATGAAACAGATCCAAATTATAAAACTATGTCATTGATCATTATGTTTCAAAGAACTTACAATTTCTCCAACATTTTTATTTTACTTTGTACACTAGAGGCACGGTTGGCATTATAACGAAAGCGATCAATGAATTCTTGCACGTGGGCTCTTTTAGCTTGTTGAGCTTCATATTCTCTTTGTTGATTTCGTTCGCGTTCGCCTTTAGTTTTGGAAAATTGTTCATAATTACCACGATATGCCTCTATTTTTTGACCTCGTAAATATAAAATATCCGTAGGTACCTATTATACATATACACGATAAATAAAAAAGAAAAACAAAATCGAAACAAATACATAGTAAAAATGCATACAGTATCCAAAAAGTTTCTGTCGTGAGAAACAACAAGTAGAGTCGTTGGCCAGGATTGTAAATATTTCTCAAGCCAAAGTATAGCTTTGATATCAAGCATGTTTGTCGGTTCATCAAGTAACAAAAGATCTGGTCTAGAAAAAAGTGCTCTTGCAAGAGCAAGTCTCATCCTCCAACCACCAGAAAAAGCTTTGGTAGGCCAAGATTGCCTTTCAACAGAAAATCCAAGTCCAGATAATATTGCACTTGCTTTAGCTGGTGCTTTATCGACTTCAGCCAACTGCATAGCTTCGTATATTCGAGCTAATTCTTCTCCTAATGCATCACTTGTCTTACCCCCATCTTTTTCTATTGCAGCTTGTAATTCCGTTTCTCGACTTAACAGAGTACTTCTTTCTTGATCACATCCTAGTACAGACTCGAGAGCCGATGTATCATCACCGGCTACCTCTTGCTCTACATGTAGAACTCGTACATGAGATGGTATTCTAAGCTGTTTACTAAATTAATAATAATTAAAAATTAATAATAATTTATTGTTAATAGATTAATAATAAAAATTAATATCACTTATCATTACCTGGATATCATTCTAAGCAATGTGGTCTTACCTAGACCATTTCTACCAATTAAACCATAGCGTCTACCAAATGCAAGAGTTAAATCGGCACCTTGTAATAATACTCTATCTCCGTATGCAACATCAAAGTTTTCTATTCTGATATCTTGTGTCTTATTTACTCCACCTTTGGTTTCCATTCTACTATCTTTTTTACTTGTCATTTGACTGGCACTTGCAGATTCTGTAGCTTGGTTTATGTTGTTTGTACGGCCTGCTATACCCAATTCATTTATAACTCTTTTTTCTTGTTTCTGTTGTAATTTAGCCTCTGCTTTTTCTAATTTTTTAGCATCCACTTTCTATCATAAAAATCATATTAATTGATTGATATTCCAATTATAATAAAAATTATTAAATAATTAATTACCATAGCATCGTCCCTTGTTGTCACCCATATACTTTTAATTTGTTCTACTTGTGCTTCCAAAGTAGCAGCCATTGCTCCTAGATGAACAGGAGCATTTAATACTTTATTTACACCATTTTTTCTCCTTTCAACTTGTCCTTCTTCGGTATTACCTTTTAACATTTCTAGTAATTTCACACATATTTCTCTGTATTAAAAAAAAAAACAAAACAAAAAATACTTAATATTTCTCAAGCGAACATATTTCATAATGCAAATTTGTTTGTGTATAATCAAAATATATTTATATATCAAATTTAATCTTATTACTAATAATCATTCCATACTGCTTATATATAATGCATACCGCATAGTTTGCTTCTATCACATCATAAATTATTATATTTCCAAGAATCATATTAGAAACGAATTGTCGGGCATCTATGTTTAAAATCTTCCTCATAAGAATTACAATGGCAATTCGTAAAAAAAAAATTTTTAAATAAATATGACAATCAGAAAAAATTAGAAAATAAGTGACTAGTAACCTATAAAGAATGTTTGTAAACACAGATTTATAAATTTATGACTATAAAAAATGATTATATGTGAGTGTAAATACGAGTTTTACAGACCTAACCTCGTTTTCTGATTTATCAGCTACTTCATGTAAAACTTCCCCGATAGCCTCATAAATCTCATCGCCATCTTCAAAATCATCTTTGGAACTATCTAAAATACCTATACGAACAAAATTAATTATATTGTTTGAATTACATTATTATGAACTTTTGAAGACACATTTTTTTTCTTAGGTTAATTAGTAAAAATGTACCTTCTACATATTGGTATAAATCATCGTCTATCGTTGGAAATTGACTACGAATATATTCACCACACGTTGCCATATTAACCGGAATATTCTGACGAAGTTTCAATATAAATTTCCTAATAATAAATTAGAAAAACGTCTTGCTTGACGGACCAAACGTCAAACGTCCTTTGATCTTCATGAACACATGTTTACGCCATTTTGAAATACGATTTCGTCATCGTCGAGAGATCGATCCAATCAGAGTTTACTCTTTTAAGTAAAGTATTATTTTATCACGTAAGTTTAATTAAATTATTTATCGAAGTAATTGATTTTTGATATTAAATGTATATTAATGACAAATTCCTTTTCTTAATTATCCTTTTATCAATAATCCTATATATATTACACGATAGTCGCCATCTTAAAACTATCAGAAGTCATTCCTCCTTGCTCGTATTGCATATCCTCTTATGTGTTGACATTATCAATAATTAAACTTCCGCATTAGGAGGATCATAATCAGGATATAAACACAATTGGATTGTTGGAGATTATTAAAATATTCTTGATAAAATGTGTGTAAAGGAACAACAGATTGAAAGTGAAATTTACAATGCGAGCAATGGTATAAGAACTGTAGTGGATCGAATTATTAGGGATTAAGTCACAATACAGAGTCATCGATCTCTTTCTTTATTGAAAATATTCTACTTATTTATAACTGTAAAGTGAACGCTCGAATAAAATATATAGTTGCATAAAATATCAAGAAAATGGCGACAGATGTCGAGGAATCAGATACCGATGATCATGAAAGACCAGCTCCTCCAAAACGACAACGTACACGATGCATTAAAGTCGATGAAAATTATTGGGAAACGGTAATTATTTATTAAAACTTTAGAGAGACTTATACACGACATTGTTACAAGACTAAGTATGTATTATTTTAATTAATTGCCTAATATATACATACATATATATATATATATATATTAAGCAATAATGCGTGTATATATAGTCTGATATATATATATATATGTTTGTGTATATTGCCTGATATATATATATATATATATATATATATATATATACATATATATATATACATATATATATATATATATATATACCTTGAAATATAATTTTATTCATATAGAACAGCTTGTTGTTTTACCATGAAACAAATAATTTGATTTTGTTAATGAAACTTTCAAATTGATATTATTGTCAGGATAAAACATCATGCAACAGCAAACATACAATACAAGAGACAGAAAATGTTGAGCATGAAGAAGTTGAAAGACGAGAGAAATTAAGGCGATGGCAAGCCTGCCAAGTGGCAAAAGGATTTGTAGACAATACTATTAATAAAATGCTGGAAAATTTTATCATGCCATCTGAATCCTATTCTGTGGAAGATCCAGAATTTCGTGTATTTAGGGGAAATGATATGGAAAATACAGCTGTAATGATGGCAATTCGTAATCACGGTTTGGTTCAATCAACAGAACTCGTTTCTCAATCTGATACTTTCTATAATAATGGGGTACCTGGCTATTGGACTAATAATGATTATACAAATGTATCGTGTTGTCCATCCAGTCATATGGAAGATACAGGAGATTTTTCTAATTCCATAGCTGCATCATCAGCAAATTCTTTGAAATTACATGATCCTGTAGAGATACCACGTTATAATGAGTCAACTTGGGATGTTGGTAAAATAGGTGATAATGATCAACAAGAAGATTTCTTAGAGCGAGCTGTAGCAGAAGCTATCAAGAAAAAGGGCTTAAGTGCTCTGAGTGTAGATTACGGATGAAATGTTTCTTTTCATTAATTGCCATACAAATGTATTGATACAAACATGGTATTATTATATATAAGACTATTATATACACGCATGGTATATAATAGTGATAACTTTGTTCTTATTCTTTAGAAACTTTATTCGTACAACACAGTTAATTTTATCTATAGTATATGTCAATATTAAAAAGACTTTATATATATATATATCAGCCACCCGTGTTCTCAAAAATTAATAGTTGCTGGTGTATTTTAACATCAAAATATGCTTGCATTATGATCAAAGCTTTTTTTTTTTGCAAATTGGTTATTAATGAATGAAATGAATAATATAAATTTCTCTCTATTCAACTAATATAAACTATAAATTCGTTTGATAACTAATTATTATTTGTTCATTTATTTATACTAATATGAAATTTATTATAGACAGAACTTTCTACATAAAGAATGAAAATATTAATGTATATAAATATATATGTATATATATATATATATATACATATATATTTATATATATAGGCACGTTAAGACTGTAGTATCAGATATGTTTTATTTTTTATCAAATTGTACATCTGCTTAATTTTAATTTACATCCTTTATTCAAAAGATGTCATAACATTGAAATTAATAAGAAAACTGAATTATACCCTTACTCTGTATCGTATATATGTTTTTTCAAACGTGCCTCCTCTTTACATGTAAGTAAATATAAAATAAAAGTTACGATTACGTTGTAATTTAAAAAGCAGAATTTTATAAAAAAGAAAAAAAAATTTGTTAACTATTCCGGAAACGTAGGAAAAGTTTTATATATAGAGAAAGAGACAGAGAGAGAGATTTAAAAAAATTCTGTAATTTCAAGAGAATTATGAGAAAGAACCGATGAAGTCGTACGTTTAAATACGGATTAAAAAAAAAAAAAAAAAAAAACGAGATGAAAGAAAATGATAGAAAAATGAATTTAGCTGTCCGAAAAGTGAAATGTGATAATAAGATAGTGGACAAAGCATCGAAGAGGGATAAGAGTAGACAGGGGGTGGGAAGAAAGAAGGGAGGCAGAGAAGAGGAGAGAGAGAGAGGAGAAAGGTTTTTTGAGGCAGTCGCAAAAGAGTAGAAGAAGAGGGGTTTCAAGAACAACGGGAAGTGCAAGAGCGAGCAAAGACCGTAGTATTCGCGCGTCTCTGCTGACTGTTCGCGTAGCACGAGTACGAAACGTGAGGGGTATAGGAAGGGAAGGGGAAGGGAAGGAACGTGCTATCTCTCTCTCTCTCTCTCACTCTCTTCTATTTCGCCTTGAGAGAGAGAGAGAGAGGAGGAGCGCGCGATTGAAAAAGAGTGAGGAAGGGAGAAAAGAGAGAAAGGAGCATAGGGAGGGGAAGGATAGAGCATAGTATCGGCGGTGGTGGGGAGACCGAGAGGAATCGACGAATCGCGAACGAGAGGGGAGAAGCCACGGGCAGTGGGTGCACACGTACAAGGCGTAGTGACTGCACGCCGAGTCGGAACGCGGAGCGAGCGAGCGTCGAATGAACGTTGATGTCGCATTTCCGTGCTGTTTTTCTACACGTTATAATATTATACCAATTAAAGGAGAACGATATTCTCAGTGTCTTCTATCTTAATTAAATCGTAAATTTAAACAATGGCATCGGACGAGGAGGTGGAGGAAAGCTACGCGGGTGAGTAGTGATCGGAAGAAGAGAACACTATCGCCGAAACCGCCGGAAAGTTGCGTGTCCTCGTCGGCTAAGCAGGACGCGCGCTTTTCGTATGATGGCTGCCATGTCAATTGCTTCTTGTTGTTTTTTCTTTTCCTGTTTCTTTTTTTCTTTTTGATTTTTCTTTTCCCTCTTTTTTTCCTTTTCCTCTTCTTCCTTTTCTTTTTCTTTTTTCCTTTTCTCTCTCTCTCTCTCTCTTTTTCCAAACATTTCTTTCTTGTCCCCCCCCCTCTTTCCCCGGGCCCTCTCCCCTCCCCTCTGTTTCGCATCAAGTCAGTCGGCAATACGGAACAAAACGCATCGAAAGAAGATTTTTATGTCCTTCGTCGAATATGCGATCATGTATTTCGAAGTATTCTTTTCTCCTTGTCTCTCTCATTCTCTCTCGCTCTCTCTTCCCTCCTTCTCCTCTCCTGTCTCACTCTTTTTTCTCTTCTCTTCTCTTCTCTCTTCTCCTCTCTTTCCTTCTCCCTCCCTCCTTCTCTTTCTCTCTCTCTTCCTCTCTGCCTACCTTCTACTTACTTACCTACCTACCTACCTACCTACCTACCTATCCTGTCTCTCTTTCTCTTTTTATCTCATCTTTCTTGCTCGAATGCCGATCGCGCTGTTCGATTCAAAGGCGCGAGAATCTATTTCGTCGGGAAATAATTTTGTTTTCTTTTTTCTTTTTTTTTTAAAGCTCTCTGAAAAGCTTTCGTTGTAACATTTACGATTGTCAAATGATATTATATATTGAGTACGTTAACATTTCGCGCCTTGTCCAGGATTGATCGATCCTACGATCGAGTGTCATGGAATATGATGATTCAACGTTCGGAAAGCGATCGGCGTTTGACCGCGTGCCGGAAAACTTCCTCGAAAAATCACATGGATGCGTCTTCTCCCCTTTTTGCAATCTTCTTTTTTTTTTTTTTTTTTTAATAATATCTTTTGTTGTATTGCTTAGTTAAAAAAAAAAAAAATCTTTTTTACTCTCTCAGCTGTTTGTTTACATTTGAAATCCACACATTTATATTTTTGGCATAAAAATAAAATGACTCTTTTGCAATAATCATCGTCGAAATCAAAAATAGTGTGCATATATAATTTTGACGCAACTATTAATAAATATATGCGTCAGCAAAGAAATAAATTTTCAATTCTTATCATTCGTACTTTCTTATATTCGACTGTCGCGAAAGAATGAAGAATTTTGAATCGAACATATATATATATATGTTTTGTTTCGTTCAATCTGTGTTATTATCAGTTTACTACCATTGTTATTACATCTAATATCCCTTTTCCCCTCTTTTTCCTTCTCCTGCTCCTCCTCCTCCTCCTCCGTCATAGTACACGTTATTACTATATTATTGTTCTACTATTACTATTATTACTTGTATTATGTTTTATGCAGTAGTAGCGAACGTGAAATTATAAAAAATATGTCGCAATGAATACTCGTTAGTCTGTGATATTTTGTCGGTATTCTTATTACGATTATTATTATTATTATTATTATTATTATTATTATTATTATTATTATTATTATTATTATTCTTATTATTATTATTTTTTTTTTTTATTATTATTATTATTATTTTTATTATTATTATTATTATAAATATTATTATTATCATTATCGTCATCATTATTTTTCTAGGTAGTAACTTTGTGACGCTCGCTTCGGTTTTTGAAGTATCTAGTGCAGCTGTGTGTACTTCGTGACTGACACACTTATAGGGTTGTTATAATAGCCGGTTCGTGTACGCGATTATAAAATATTAAAAATCTTACAATTAACCTCTTTTCAATATACCCGTGATCATTTTTTTCTATAGATACGTTTTAAAATTATTTCGGAAGGCTTACGGGATCGATCGAGAGTACGATAAGATTATGAATAAATACTTCGTATGCGTTATGCCCTTTGAAAGAAAATGGCGGACGCACACTCGCACAAAGCATTCGCCGAACGCGGATTAGTCTGTAATAATTTGTACATTTTTGTTAAACTTACTTGTGCATAATATAATGCATACGTTACATTCGTAAACCGATTTTTCTCGTGTTTCTTATCATCGACAAATAGTCATCGTAATAGTTTATAAAGATAGTGAAAAATAGCATTTATATAAGTTTTAAATTTGGTTTAATAACCGTCAATCGTTCCTTTCAGGTATTAGAATATGGATGGTTAGTAAACGACGATTTACCGCATATATTTCTGTCATAAATAATAATATTTCTATTTTGGAGGGAAACTTTCATTTCTGTTTTGTGATTTGTTATTGTGACATTTTGAGATGTTTTAATTTGTTTAAAAATTTTTTCGAATATCATATTTTCGTTTTAATCATTATTTTAATTTCATAATATTTCATATTTTATTGGATTATTATGTTATAATATTTCTTATACTGTTATACTTTATTGATTTTGTCAGAGTTTAAGTGTGGTTTTCATTTTTGCCAAACCCAACTTATAATCACCATTCACATATTGATTTTGTCTGCTTAATACATATAGGAACAACTATATATATATATATATATATATATATATATATATATATATATATATATATATATATACATATATATATATAAATGTATATATATATATATGTATATGTATAATAATAACCTGTAGAATAAAGCATTAGTTCTTTTGATGAATCAATTGCTTTAGAATTTTATTTTTTATATTTAAATTCAATTGATTTCTCCAGTTTTGTCTACTATTAAAATTTATTTTATTTTGATTTTTTGGTTATGTTTTATTGAAATATTATTAATATGAAATGTTCAGGAGAAGATGATCTGGATGAAACTGGAGGTCAGGTTTCTAATATTAGTCAACAAGTAGATGGCTCATCTGATGCAGAGAAATCTCCAATATTAGTAAGTGTTTTTTTTTTATGTATATATATATATTTTTTTTCTCCTTTTTAATTTTGAATAAACTTATGAAATTCAATATATAAACATTAAATGTATCTATTTGTAGGAAGAAGACGATGATTATGAACCAGAAGAAAGAAAGAAAAAGAAAGGTAAAAAGCGGAAAGCACGCAGTGAAGATAAAAAAGGGAAGAAAAAGAAGAAAAAGAAAAAGTCTGATTCTGGAGATGTAAATATTATTGTATATATTATACAAGTAATTTTTATATGTATATCTGTTTTTTCTCGCAATAAGTTTTATTTGGAAAATATTAGGAAAGTGATTTCGGTGGTGGAGATGTTGGGGATGCAGCAGGAGATGATAGCGATTACGCGGGCAATAGGAAGAGCAGAAAATCTTCGTCGAGGAAATCATCCAGTCATAACGACTCAGTTACACAAGGACAGGAACCTACAACTGGAATGCCAACAATAGAAGAAGTGTGCAACACCTTTGGTTTAACTGATGTGCAGATAGAA